CAGTGGCAAACACAGAACAAAAGACACCTTAAGTTAAAAATCACCCAGGTGACAAGCTCCAAGTATTGTCCCAACTTATGTACTTGGCAGTGCCCTGTTGTCTCTGCTTTAAAACCCAGTTTGTAGTTAACAAAGAAGTCACAGAAGGGGACTGGCGAGAAAAGGTACAGATGGAACAAGCTAAGCCACACAACGTGAGCTGCTACTGGGCGCTCGGGCAGCTCTATGAAAGAAACACAGGCCAATGAAAATGAGTAAGGTAAGAGTTAAGAGTAAGAAGACTTTAGAAAAATCAAAAGACTCAACTTGAGTCCCGGGGGCTTAGAGTTAGTTCAGGGACTTCAGTGCCCTGACAGGACGTAAGACCTGCTCACCTCACCCACCGACCAAAACTCCACAGGCGTGTGGTGCTCACGCTAGTGCCTCAGGGCCAGCACTCATAACTGAAGCTCTCTGGAAGAGGCTCTCTTCAAAAATAACACTCCTACTAACTAACATTCACATTGAATTTTGTACTTTTAAAGCTTGTCGGCAAAGCGCACTGGCAAGCTCATTTGGCCTGTGCAAATGACCAAGGTCTAGACTCTATAGACCAGCTAGAGAGTAGGGAGACCCAGAAAGTCACTTCTGTTGAATTAGCTGCAAGGTGGGTAGACCCTTAAAGTGCAAACAGGTTGGTTTTTTGAAAATAAGGTGTGTGTGTGGGGAGGGGTGTGAAATACACACTCATACTTCAAATCATTCCCACAGGAGGAGTTCCCGGACATCTGAGAGGCACGTCGTGTGTGGGACAGGCACTGAGTCTGCTTACACTCAGGCTACGGCTGCCCGGGCCGTGACTGTATTTGTGTCTTAGCCCATTAACCCCTTGGTGAGAAAAGCACCAAATCCCTTCAGTGTGTGACAGTGTGTGTCCTGCTTTCCACCACTGTCATGAAGCTCAAGTGAGATGCTTCTTATAACAGCATCAATGTTGTCTTCCTTCTGGAGAACAGTTACTTGTTGACTTTCAATTAGAAGAAATTTTTAAATCTTAAGCCATACATTATTCGGCATTGAAGCATACCAGACTGATTTTCTTGAGCCTATTTTTGAAATATTTTAATGATTGAATAGAGTGGTAATTCCAAGATTATTCAAAAAGTGGGTTGCATGTAAGTTTACGGTGTTTCTTCTGTCCACCACGGTTATGATCACTTTGTGTTTTAAAATTAACAGCAGCCCACAGACATTCCTCTGAACCTCCCCAGTGTATGTGTGATCTGTGCATGCACAATGAATACATGCGTGTAATCTAGTCACGTGCTACATGTTAAACAGTTCTATGAAAATAAACTTGGCAGAGACAGTTCAGCTCAGTAACACATTTCCAAGATGCAGAATGCTTCTACGCAGTGATCTTAGTACAGCGTGTAAATGGCTCTTCGCGTTCACCGCACTGTATACTGGACACTTACAACTGCTTAGAAATAGACAATGCTTAAAAATGCCGGAGACTCGCTCACCTCTCCAGCCCTCCAACAAGCCTGTCTTGACGTTACCATGTGCTCTGTGACCCTCTCTCTAAGCGGGGCTGAGAAGCGGCGTGTGTCTGGAAGATGTCCCGGGCCTGGTGACAGTCTACCCCGGCTGGAGCCCAGCGACGGCCTCTTGCCTCCCAGGGAGGGCGGCGGCGGGCGCTAGGGCTTCTTGCCCCACACTGCGGAATGACCACTTTCTCGGGACGCCGCCTCCCTACCCGACACCAACTACCCGGCCACAGACTCGGGGCGACGTGTCAAGTGCAGGCTGGGCACACTGACACCACGTCTGGAGAGCTGTGCCACGGCAGCCCACTGGAGTGCAGGCCCCAAGTCAGCGATAACAGCAGCTCGTGATGGCCTGCACTGTGTGGCGACCGGCTCGCGGCGTAACCCCGTGTCCTCGCCGGTCACGCCCGTCACTGCCCGCACGCGACATCCTGTTGCTGCAAACAGCGCTTGGAAGCGCGAACGGGGCGCACACACCCGTGATTACAGACACGCTCGGGGGTCCGCAGCCTTGACTCAACCCCTGGGGCTTAGTTAGTGTAAAACGGAGGCTGAGACCCAAAACATCTCAGGTCTTTCCAGGCATAAGGAAACACCTAGGAAAAGTAACCACAAGCGTCTGAGATTTGGGGGTTGTTACTGCAACATAGAACAGGACAGGACTCAAGGCAGCAGCAGGGGACAGGTGTGCCGAACCCACTGAAAACAACACAAATGGCAGAAAAATAATTAAAGGGCTCATTTAGAATGCATCTGTTAAAATAAACCAAAAACCCTGAAGTCAAAATCCCCAGAGCTAATTTTCAACTTTGAAACGTGGTGCTTGAACTCTGGGTTAAAGCCTCTGGAGTGGACGGTCTGGACAGTAGGCCCACAGCAGACCCACAGCAGCCCTAGGCAGGTGAGGAGACTGGCCCGAGAGGCAGAGGCACTGGGCGCACAGATGAGCAGAAACAGCTCTTGCTGGAATCCAGTAACGGCCCCAGCTGTGGCACTGGACGCTGGAAGGCGGAACAGCCTCCCCTGAGCATTCGGGGTCAGAAGACAACCCTCCTTCCCCTCTCCCGCCCCCGGCCGGGAGACCCTCCGACTGCCACTGCCTTGATGGCCCAAAAAGGATTCAAACCAAATGCCCTCGGTTGTTAATGCTCACAAACAAGTGGGCTTGGCGATCACTCTGTTCTCCCTGGATACACCTGTTACTACTCATAGTGCAGATAATTCCCACAGTTAAATCCTGCAGGAATATGAGGTCATGCCCCAAGTCACAAAACACTAATCGAGATTAGATATAACAACAAGACTTTTTCTAACTAAGCCTTGTGGATGTAGAAAGACTGCACATAATAGAATCATACCAGACTACAAGTGTGACAATTAGGTCTAGATAGTCTTGAAAACATGGGCAAAGGGTGAGCACCTAAGACTTCAGAAATCAAAGCCCGGATGGTGTCAGCAGTGAGCTGAAGCAGAGAGAAGAGCGATGTGGACTGCGAAGGTGAAGGAGCCTTCAGAATGCGGCCCAGCGCGTGGAAATCTTGCAGGGGAGTTTGACATAAGCATTGCACAACTGAAGCCTCTTCTCTTTGCTGGAATAGCAGAGGAGAAAGAGCAGGACGGAGATGGGATCTTAAAACAATGCGAGAGTTTTCTGAACTGATGACCCCTACAGATGAGGGAACCCAAGGACTCCCCAGTACATGTGCCTGCAGAAGCCCACAGTGATTCCAACTGTCATGAGGGGGAAGACGACAACGATGAGACCCGAAGAGCAGAAATATAATCTTACATGTGTTTTTTTCTATCAAATAATACTTTTATTTCAAAAAACTGAGCTACATCCTCACTAAATCATATTCTAACAAGCAGAGGATCTATACAAACACGAGATGATGACTCTAGCAACCGCATGACCAACACAATACAGCTCAGTGCTTCCTCACGGTAACACGCGGCAAACCCCAGGACAGTGCATGGCTCTGACATTCAGCCGCCAGAGGTCGAGGGAGCCCCTGCGCAGTCAGGGCTTGAATGTTTCTAGTCCTGTCTTCTGGGTCCTGTCTTCTGGCCCGTCCATGCCACTGCTCAGGACCACCTGCAGACCTGCCAGGAGACCCCGCACGCCCCTCTGCCACGCTGCAGTGGCTGCTGCTGACAGCAAACACACAGCCAGCACCTGCTGGTCCTTGCGCTTCTGCACATGCAGCACAACAGAAAGCAAGCTCCCTTTCCAGCTCGAGCGAAGTGTTCACAAAGTGACAGAGGGGACGATGCAAAGGGCCAGGAAAAAAGGGTTTTGTCTGTCTGGTTGGCTGCTGTACGGCTGGAAAAGCGCTTGGCATTCAGCAGGACCCAGCATTTGCTGAATTAACTGGCAGAATAAAGACTGAGTGCCTCTCTATCACACGTTGCGTCTGAGTTGTAGGATGTGCCACTTTTTGTATGTGCCAAGCTTCTAACATTGCTTTACGCTGATGCGCAAATGTCTCGTTCCATGGATATACACGGAGACCCACACCATACATCACTATATCAGTTTTTTAATTCTCAATGGCCTAGCTCTGCCACAGATAGGCAGGCAGCAAGCACTCTGTGTGCTGACTAAACAAACCGCAGGGAGTTTGAAATGAATCCTTCAGCTCCCTGTCCAGCTCTCGCTCTGTGTCAAAGGTAGACGACACAAAGAATCCGAACACAATGTGGCCTGGCTGGACGGCGGTGCCCTGTGCTGTCCTGCCAACCTCACTGAGCAGCGGCAGCCAAGGATGCTCCAGAGGGCGGGGAGGAGGCGCAGAAGCAAAAGGACACGCGGTGGCTACGGGGCGGCGGGAGGGAAACACGGCCCGCTGGCTTTGAGCGGGCCACCACGGTTACTTTGCAAACTGCACCCCACCACCCCGCCTTACAAAAGTTGCTCATTTAATAGAATTCGGTTCAACTACACTATAGAAAGCTTACCCAGTGTTTTCAGAGGCAATGAATGGCATTATCATTAGAAATTTACTCCGAGGCAGCAAAATTAATAAGCAGGCAACTTATAAACAGTAGAAGCTAAAGATTTTCTTTTAAGCATTTAGGAAAATCAAATCCAGGTTCCAATTATAACGACAACACTGAAAATACACGAGAATGTGATGTTTCCATCAGAAATGTTTGCCAAGCTTTGTGTTTGCTCTGCTGAGATTTTCCTCAAGTACCATTGCCTTCAGTTGCTCAGAATGCCAAAGTGCTAAATTTAGTTTTTAATCGATTTAATTAAAAGTCACAAGATCCTTTTTTTTTTCTAGGCAAAATAAAAACACGGAGACTTCTCTGCTACATTTCCCCTGTCAGTGACCTGAGAGAGGAGGCTGAAGAAGACCCAGGGAGGAGGCCAGGTCAGCTTCACCCAGTTTAAAGACCCCTGGGGCTACTCAGCACCATGAGACTCTTGGGGGCCCAGTGCAGAAGTCAGGCTTGATCCCCACTTACTGGCTGGAGCAGGCAGATGAGCGATTCCTCTTGGATTATGGTGACTGGAGAGGGGGTGATGTGAGTCGCTTGGAACAGGGTGTTCACAGACGCCATGATCTGGTCAAAACGCCCAGCCAGTCCGCCCAAGGTCACTATCACGTCCACCTAAGCGAGGAAAGAAAACCAGGCATTATGGGATTCAAAACTCAGGCGAGTAAATAGCCTCTGACACTGAAACAGCTTTCGGAACTGCACTGCGCCTGCCCAGCCGTGAAGAAACGGCAGACATTCCTTTCCAGGTAGGACACTGGCCCAAGCCAGGTAACTGGCTTGTCAAGGGTCAGGTTTCAAGGTTGATTCTTTGAGGTGCGAATTTTAGGCTTTTCCTATCTATCACCTCAGAAAACCTAATGACAGTTTGCTTTAAACTGAGGACAAAGACATTAAAAGAAGCGACATATGAAATGTAACATAGAGAGAGCTCTCAGGCTCACGTGAAAACAAACGGTTTATTGTGAACCTCCTAATGCTCAATCCCCAGCACACGCAAGGCCACAAAACAGCTTATTCACTATGCAGATTCCGGAATCCTTTTTACCTTCTCAACTTTTCATTACTACACTCTAAGCCTTGAGGGATCCCATAACCTTTAAAGCTGAAATTTAGTCCCCATCGCGAGGAATAAGGAGTATCTGTAAATCAGTCACTGTGCTTTTCAGAATAAAGCCGCAGCAAGATTGCGGCTCATCACGCTCCTTCCCTGCAGGAAGTATCAGCAAGGCTGATTAAAAACACTGGACGGGCCCTCCCTGGTGGCGCAGCGGGTTAAAGCACAGCACTGAGAATCTAAAGCCGCTTCTGCATGAGTTCGATTCCCGCCTGCCCCGGAGGTGACCACATGGCGCGGCAGACCTCTCCTGACCCGCCCGCTGCTCCCCTCAGCAGTGTACTTCATTGATCTGCCTGTTCTGCTCCCCACTCTGTCTCTGGTGAAGCCTCTCACCACCCCTGAGCCTCTGGCCTGTACCCCAGTTCTGTATGCACAAATAAATCTTAAAAAAAAAAAAAATTAAAAAAAAAAACACTGGACGGGTGAGGCAAGCGAGGTGGGTGCGGGAGGGGCAGCCCCAGGGGGCCTCTCAGCTCAGGCACCTGTGGCCTGGCATCACGCAGAGAGGGCGCCCACACCCGGCCCTGGCCCTCACCCAGGTTTCCCAGGCTACACTTGTGTCATCGGAAATAACGCTCAGGGCCACAGCGATCGTCAGAGGAGGCAAGTGAGAGCCCGCCGGCTGCCTGTCTACGTGGCCCCGAAACCCGAGCACGCGGTTCCTACTAGCGCTCAGTGTGCTGGCGATTTTCTCGACTAGATTTCTTTGACGGTTCAGCAACTCCACGACAGGCTGCCAGCGGGTCCAAGCGCTGGGGACAAGGCTGCTTCCTGCCACGGCTCCCTCGGGGCCCCAGGCCTGAGCGAAGGGCCCTGCCCAGCGCCCTGCCCACACTCCTCAGGACCATGGCGAAGGGCTGCTTAAAGCCTAAGCAGACAGTCTGTGTGCTGCAGGATGCTGAGAGCCCAGTGCCCAAGGAACCCCTGGGCCACTCCAAACTGATCACCAGAAGAGGGTGACGAGTCCAGGAAGCCATCAGTAACCTCACAACTGCCCTGGATGGCACCTCCCCGCTCACCCCCAAGAACTGAAAGCGAAGAACCCCCCAGCCCTCGGGTCCTCATATTCCTCTTTCCTACGCAGACTTCCCTCGCTCTTCTCCTGGGCACTGCTGTGTCCTCCTGGGCAGCCCAGAGGCCAGTGAAGGGCTTGTTCTGTGGCACAGGGCCTGCCTTTTTGAGTCAGAGAAACAAACTGGTCAGGTCTGCCGCTGAGTATGACTCAGGGATTTCAAAGACAGCAGTGACTCCCCCGCCTTAAGCTGCTGTCCTGTCCCTGATGGGACACTTGTCCAGCTTTTCCAGCTGCCCCCAACCCCCTGCCCCACCCTGTGAACCTGGCCAGTCTGCCCAGGGCCAGAGCAAAACAAACCCTTTCATTTCCGTGCCTCCTGGAGCAATCTGTCTGTATCCATACTGGTCAGCAAATCCCCCTTTCTGTAACACCAGTACTCCTTGCACTTTGCTGCTGCTGCTGCTGTCTCCCTGCTGCAGAGGAAGCCTCTGGATCCCAGGTGCCAGCTGGGGTGTTCTTGGTGTTCGCAAAGTATAGACAAGTAGTCACTGAGCTCCCCTAAGCATATGAAAGCTCAGGGCAAACGGAATAAATAAGCAGCGAGGCAAGAAGCTGGTTATTAGGATGAATTAACGGCTAATTCCTAAAATAGTTCTTCCCTCCTTGGCAAGGATTCCAATAGCTAGTGGCTTCTGAAAAGAGTAACGAACTTCACAGGTGCTACCTCTGGTCTTGCTATCGATCATTTCCACATGTTACGGAGTTTTCTACACACTCAGGGTGTCGAGCAGAGAAGACACGAACTGCCACGAAATGGAGGACACACTGATGAAACGCGAGCAAAGGGACTCGCCAGGACGTGCCAGATGCTAAGTGTGGGAGGAGAGTGACAGGGTAGGAAAACGGGGGCAGGGAGGGCGCCTCAACTTTGAGGGAGAGCAGGGCTAGCAGCGTGAGACAGGGCCAGGAGCAGCAAGACCGAGAGTGAGGCGCCAGCCTTCCGTGGCACGTGCCGTGAGAGGCAGCCAGCCTCGGAGGCTGTTTTCTGCTGTTTTCTGCTGGTGGTAATGCATCAAGGCTTCCTATTTTTAATTCTAAAAAGCACTGTTACGAGCTTGTTCGCTGTGCAGATTAAACATTTTAATCGAAGTATCTGTACACACTCAAGTAGCACACACAGACCTATTTTGTCATAGTCCGTTATAGAAAGAGGTGATTTCTGCGTGTTTTCTACACTCAGAGGGTCATCAGCAAGCAGAGAGGGCGGAAGCCAGCGCTGCCTGCGTACCCATGTCTAGCAGAGAACTCTAGCCGGTCTCCCCTGCAGTCTGCCACAGCCAGGCGTGCGTGCAGCTCCGGCCTCCCGTGACCTAGGTGACCCCTCTGCAGTCAGGGCTTCTCCTAAGTCCACTGGCGCAGTTCTCAAGGTCACTTTCTCATCTGTGGGTGGGTCCACGTCAGATTCTCTGGCTTCCACCAAAACAGGTTAAGTGATCATCCTGTGTATTTTGTTTAGACAATCACCAGGAAACTTGCCTTTGTGAGGCTTCCCCTCACAGAATCCTGACAGACATCTGCTCGAGGATACTTGAGCGCCGAAGGCAAAGCCATCTCAGTGTTCGATTCTAACAGTAAAAACCTTCTAGTAAACAAATGACATGTTTTTCTCCGTTTGTCCTCAAACTATCTCAGATCCAGCCTGCACGAAGTCTCCAGCTGCAGCCGTGGCTGTCAGCACATTGTAATTACATGTACTTTCCACAAATTGAATTCTGGAGTTGCATAAATGCAGAGTTTCATTGCGGTGCTCTCTGATAGCTAGGCGACACAGTTTAGCGCACACATAGAGACACTTCTGAAAGTAAAAAGGAATTTTCTAGATAATTACACGAAGGACGTGGCACAAGCAGGACCAGCCCACTTCAGTTAGGACACATGCACCTGCCTGCGAGTGACATCCGACCCTCAGACAGCAACGGGTCCCTAAATTCCGACACCATTCCCCACAAACGCCTGCGGTCCAGACTCAGGACTCAGTGGCACCACTTCCGCACCAGAAGGGTCACTCCGCGGGGTCCTGTCCAGCCCAGCCAACTCAGCTGCAGAACGGCGACCAGGAAATGAGACCATGGCCCAGCTCTTAGCTCCTCACCTGCGCGCCCTGAACTGTTCTGTTTTCAAGTTCAAGTGTCAAAGAGATGACCAACCGCCATCCGTATATACTTCGTATTTGTTTTCCAAGGTCCCTGCTTTTTCTCAAATTCCTGATGGACAAAGTCACGAAAGAATTGTTCTTTGAAGACTCTTGTAATTTGTCCTTTGATCCTTCATGGCGGCTGCATCGAACCACGGGATTATTTTTCAAAATGATCTTAGGACTTTCTGTTCAAAATTCTTCAATGACTCACCGTGACCGATAGATGAAAACTGAGTCCTTTATCTCGAGTTTCGTTCTGTCTCTAGAGACCCCCAGGTGCCGGCCCAAACAACCTCGCCCCGAGGGCAGCCTGATGCCTCCCTGCTCGCGCTGTCTCGCATGGTTTTATTCACATTCAGGGCTCTGGAAGCGTGTACACTTCCGGCATCCTGGTGAGGACAGAGTAGAGAACGATGCCTGAAATGCTTTTTCTTATTTACTCAGGAACAAGGACGGAATTTTTTATTCAGTCCTCACTATAAACCTGGTTATAATTACAGTGCTGACTTTCTGCTATCCTGAGTACTAATATCTCCTCAGTTAACTGGACTATAGGTCCTCAAGTCATCACCATGGGACACCCAGAGATGGGGCATTTTCCCCATATAAACGGAACAGCTGTGTGACGAGTATATGTGGAAAGATGGGTCCTTCCATCTTTGGTAAGGACACCAAGCAGTGGCCAAGAATAAATCTGCATATATTTACATTTCTCTGCCCTGGGAAGTGAACCCCAAGGAGAACGGAATGGAAGCGGAGGCACAGAGCCCAGGGGTGGCTGTTTTACATGATCTCATTCTAGTATCCCTGCTGCAAGTGAAATGCTTTGAAGGGTCAGGAATACACTTTTTAAGTGAAACAACATGAAATCACAGTCTGTATAAATAAATAGCATGGAGATTATAAAATACACGGAAGGTACCTGCAGTCTCCAGACTTCTCACGCTGTCAGGATATGGAGACAGGTCTGGGGAAAGGGTGCCCAATGTATTCATTCTTTCTAAATTGCAGGAGCTGTGAGAAGTGGGAAGCTGTGAGCCCCTGGTTCAGAGCGCCCCAATACCTGGCACAGCATCCCAGCACAGATGATTTTCAGTGTAAAATGAAAACTCAAAGAATGATTGGTACCAGCTCAGTATCAACCAGTTATTTGGAAAAATAGTTTGAAAGGATAGTACAATTTATGTTACATAAAAGTTCCCTTACAGAAATTAAATGATGGCTTACAGATGAATGAAAAAATTCAAACCTGCATTCTTGACCAAGAAGCACTGGATTTTTTC